AAATACTTAGGTCGGCAGTCAGGGTAGGACCTATAGTGCCGAGCTGAGCTGATACAAAGTCCGTAACAGTGTCCCTTCYGTACCCGACAACACGCCGCGATTTTAGGGTGTGTCAGAACCCCTGTCGGGCCYAGTTTCTWTAAATAGAAAYCTTTGCCTTAAATGCAAGGTACGCAATCTTAAGTAGACTCGGCAAGTTAGCTCGRACTAGAACTAACTTGCTCGTCGGAGTGCTAACTTTGTTTTGCAGGTCTCAAGAACTGTGGAAGAGAGGTGCGGGACTATTGGCTATAGCTCGTCCTGAGCACACCGATCTAAATCGTGTCCGAGCTCAGTCAATTTTGGGCTCAAACAAAAGGCAAGAACAACATTTTTCACAAAAAATAAAAATAAAAAGGAAGTTGGCCATTACAGTAGAAATTGAGTCAAACCATACATTATTGTTTAATTCTATGGAAAAAAGTTCCAAATCGAGAACAATATGAGGTTGATAGAACATGCAGGCAAAAGAAGATGCGGAAGAGGAACGAAGAGGAACTTGCCTTTATTATTTTCGACTTTTTTTTTCTCTTCGACCAGCAGAAATTGAAACGACATCTATAATGGAAATCCTTCTTTCTTTCTTTTTTTGAATAGGGTGGGAGTTCGAATTCACTATATGTATTAATTATCGCTAAATTATACTCGTTTTTGCGGCAAAGGGAAGAGTTGGAATTGACAACCTCCAAAAAAAATCAATGACAGTCAAATTCAAATTGACCAATACAACCTAGATTTTGAGGCGTATATTGTAATTGACCTATTCGACACAGACTTGCTATCCACTTTAAATTAAATTTAACTAAGGAAAATCTGAAACAAACAAAGAAAAGAAAATCAATTTAACTATTACTATTAAACATTTAAATTTTAAACTAAATCTTTTTTTTTTAAATTATTTCAGACTTCATATTATTATATATAACTATATTTCACATATCTAACTAGATTGGATTAGAAATTATCAATAAAAAGCAACATTAAACTTTTACGGACATATCATCGCAATGAAAACATTTAAACAAAATCATGTAGACACATTAAAATTATGTAACTAGATTGGATTAGAAATTATCACAACATTAAACTTCAATTTACTAATTCAAATAATTTTCATATATGTATAGATGATTTTGTTTCGACATTTTCATCGCAATAACCTTTCCATGAGTATATTACTTATATATTTGGATATGATGGTCAAAAGTGATTAGATATAGGCTAATTAAACTACAATTAAAGTCTTATTTACTAGTTTAAAAAATTTGCAAATCTACAATTTTCATGATTTTTCTCTAAATATCTGTTGACATCGACATGTCCATAAAATCGGGATCTCAACATTTCCATCAACGTCAACATTTCGAACCTAGTTCATGACCAATTTCGAGGTGATCAATACTCTTTTCACCAAGCTATAGTTTATCCTTGAGAGACCTTTGCTCTAAATAAAGTCTTTACCATCTTTACTTGCGCCAACGGGTGAAATGCCTTGTGGCTAGGTGTGAAAATGTCCTAGGAGATTAAGTTGTAGCTCACAATTGCTCCATCATTGTCATCAAAGACAAGGGGTTAGTGCACATTCTAATTGACAAGACTATCAACTCGAATCCTATAAATCGAGTTGACTTCTCTTGACGCTCGTTCCCTCTTCTTCTATAGACTTCAAATGTATACATTTTCTATAGGATTAGTACATTGATAGACGGTAATTACACCTTCTACGAAATTTACACGTTTGTCTTGAAATACACCTCTTAAAGATAGAACCCATATGCATTTTACCAATATATCTTTTTTTTATATAGATGTAATTATTATTAAGATATCAAAATTTAAAATAGAAAAATAGTTGACTTGGGATTTACATTTTAAATTCCTAAATTTAAACACCTTTCCACTTCCCTAAAAAAACTTTAGTCTTCTTAGTGTTCTCCATTTTTTGTCGTTACCATCTTCGACAGCCCGATTCCAATTCACTCGCTTTTCACCATTGTTTCCGATAGCTAGTTTTCTACCGTTTATGTTTTAAATATTCTAGGTATGTTTTTTATTTATGATTTTCGAGGTTCGGATTTTGGATATTTAAAAAGTATTTGATGTTAACATCATATATATTTGATTATGCACGTTATTGCTTTGTTTGTTAATTGTAGATGGATATAGTTGTATATATTTTATAGCTTGATATAGGTTATATCTCCATATAAGTGTATGTTATAATGATTATAGTTTATATCACCCTTGTTAAGTGTATGTTGCTTAAGTTTATAGCCATATATAGTTTATATTTCCATATAAATGAAAATGTAGCTGAATATAGTTTATATTTTCATATAAATATATATATCTCCATATAAATGTATATTATAATGACTATAGTATTGAAATTGAGAAAAAAAAAAATTGGAAAGAAATGAAAAATATTTTGTAATAAATTTCATTCTGAGTAGAGTATATTAAACCATAAATAAAACTGTAAAATTGGTAAACATTAGACATTATTAAAAATAAGTTTCCAAAACAGTTCATCCAAAATCTTCTCTCTTTTCTGTGAGGCAAAAGCTGTTTATTTGAACACTAGACTACTAAAAACTAGAGATTGTGACTGCAGTACAAAACTAGAGACTACTCATATAATTATTCTAGATAAAAAGCCTAAGGCTCCCACCTTCGGCAGGTCACCTTTTCAAGGCTGAGAAAGACAAACAGCTCGATGCTCAAGCCTTTTTAGAATATCCAACGAACTTGGGACATGACAACCAACATCCCGAAAAAAGGGAAAAAAAAGAAAACAAAAAAGGAGAAAAAACCTGAGAAGATTATTGAAAAAAAAATGCATAAATGTGTGTGTATATATATATATGTATATGATAGACCACATTTATTAATTAAAAAATTGAAATTAAGACCGATATGAAATAATTTTAGAAAAAGATAAAGAATCTTACTGAAAATTATAAATTTAGCAAATTTTCATCATATTTATTTAGCAAAGTCTGCACCATATCCATTTAAAAAATATATACTATTCAAATTTGAATTTCTAAAAGAAAATTGAGCCACAGCTTCAATTAAAATGAGGTAAAATTTGGGAGAAAAATATGCATCATGGACAAAAGCTAAGAAAATATTGCACAAGTCCATGTGTGACAATTCCTGAAAGAACAAAGCCTGAGGCTTAGGTAAGATTGTAACTAAAAACCAAACCACACATTGTCTTAATACAAAGACAAAGTAAATCTTGATTATGGACAAATGGAAAACATTATTTTCCATCAATTTTGAGCTCTGGCATCAGAGGAGTCAACTTTTAGAATGACAAAATCCATGAATACAAACTTTCAGAAGGTGTTATTAAGTTCAAATAACCATGAAAAACACTAGTAGTGCTGTGTCAGAGCACACCCTTAAATGAACTTCCGTATTAGAAAAATGAAAACAACAAATTGGCCAAGTAAATCCAGAGCAGAAACTTGTGTACTATACAAGGAATTCTAAGAATGACTGCTTTTAATGAATGTTCTCTATGAAAGACTCTAAATAAAGTAATACCCTCAAAAGCAAAACTTTGCAAGATTCTAAATATAGATCTCACGAGGATAGGCAACTTTTCCTTCAATAGTTTAGCTAAAAACCAAACTTGAAACTGATTAAAGACAATTAAACAAGATGGACCTTCTTTCTTTTACTTGTGCAAGAAGAGTAACTGCAGTCAGGACTCGTTCCTCTCCAGACCTTCTCTAACAAGAAGTTTCCTGTTGTTGAACTCCTACACGAGAGAATGAAAAGGGTTAAAAATAACAAAATAGAATGCAGAAGTCATATCCCAAGAGAGAAAGAGATCTTTTACTGTTCCATCCAAAGAAATTGCTGCCTCACGCTCTGCAGCTGAAGAAAATGATAGAAACCCGTAAACACGGCTTTTTCCAGCTCTACGGTCATTCAAGACTTTTGCACTGACCACGGTTCCAAATTGGCTAAAAAGGCTCCTCAGATCTCCAGGTTTGACATCCCAAGCAAGATTCCCAACATATACTTTGTAAGGACTTTCATATATTATATTTTTCTTGGGTGATGAATTCAGGTTCTCAATATTCCTCTTTTTGGGACTCATATCAACAGCAAATCTAACGCGCATTTCGCGCCCACCAACATCCTTCAAAACAATGAATTTTGCATATGAATTATACTGAATGAACTAAGATTAAAACAACTTATACTTGATTTTTTTTTTGACACTAACAGAACCATCTAATGCCGCAATTGAAACTTTAGCAGAGTTTATTGAACCCATTGTGACATAGCCACATCCCTTGCTTATGCCTGTCTCAGGATTCCGAGAGACCTGGGTCCACATTACAGAGAAATGAATCAATACCATTCAAAACATGAAAAGAAACATAATCACTGTTCTATATCATTCCATGTTACTCAATAAAGATGAACAAAATTGAGAACTGTCTTTAAAGAATAATGATTATCTTCAGAGGAATAATACAGGAAAATGCATAAACTATATGAACTGAAAACTTCAGAGAGCACAAGGCTGCATCACTGCTGTTTCCGGATCCCAAATTGCCCTACCTTACTCCATAAATCATCTTCCAAACCAATTGTTTACGAAAATTCCACTCAGAAACATAAACGAAAGAATAAGCAAAATTCGTATCTACCTCAGCAGCCAAGACAGTGCCAAAAGGTTTAAACATCTCAACCAGCTCAGCAATGTCGCAATTTCTCGGCAAATTACACACGTACAGCTCACAAGGTTGTGCTTGCTTCTTCACTTCCTGATTCGAAGCATTGCCTTCACTCTTAACATCGTCTTCCTCGATTGCCTCTTCAGTAACCGCAGATTCCTTGTCAAGAATAGCGAGCAGCACAGAAAACCTAGCCCTGCGATTATGACTTAAGGAACAATAAGGGGACGAAGAAACCGGTGAAAGACATGGCAGGGGAGGGGCAACGAAAACCAAGCGGGAGA